CACGGAGACACTAATTAATGTCCACGGAGACACTAATGTCCACGGAGACACTAATGTCTCTACATTGATCAACATTCTGCTAACTAACAGCGGCCACACTGCACCTGCCTTCGTCATATTATTGTTAACTCGTTAGCATCAACTGTCTCGGCGAGGATCAACAGCGGCCTGTTTCTCTCACGTCTGCCCCCTGCGGTGCGGCGTGGTACTTACATCACTTTCCCATCTTTGCAGTGCGGTTTTATGTCCGATCAGATCAACGAAATATTTAAAAACATGAACGAATATATATTGTTAATATAATGTTTAAATTATGCAGTTAAAAACACACATCTTATTGTTATATTGTTATGATTTAACAACACTGTTTGATAATGTTGTAATAATTGAAATGTATCGACGCAATAATTTAGTCTAAATCTGGATGAATTTTAAATTTATTTAATTTTTATTATTTTATTTACTGAGTTTCAAACCTACTTGTTTGTATGATTTCAATTTCTCGACATGTTTTCCACGCTGAGTTTATTCCTCTTTCGGATTAGATTTTAATTTAATAATTTAATTTAATCCGAACCCTAGACCACAGGCCCGCTGATTGGACCACGACCCAACACTTTTATTTAATGTTAAAATGATGAAGAGACCAGTCCGTGGGGTGAGTAAACTCAGGCCTAACATCCACACCTCCATCACCCCCCCTCACTCCACCCCCCGCCCTCTCTCTCTCTCTCTGTGTGTCACCTCCTCCCCTTCTTTAACGCGCGTCACCAGAAGTCGAAGGAGACCAGGAGGAGAGAGGAGTTTGGACATTTGACATTCAACATGCGGCCCTCAGTCCGGACCAGTCCGCTGCACCACAGCGACACTTGGATCCAGTAATTATTTCCAGGGAGGAGAGGGAGCTCGGTGACGTCAGCCCGCCGGGTCCAGAGTTGAGGTGGTTTTGTTGGAGTGTTTGATGACCATGTTCCCCAGCCCCGGCACCTCCACTCCCTTCTCCGTGAAGGACATATTAAACCTGGAGCAGAGTCACGGAGTCATGGTGTCCTCTCTGGACCTGTCCCCTCGTCTGGACTGCTGTTCCGTGCAGACATCCACACCCTGCTCCTCGTTCTCCTTCTCCTCCTCCTCCTCTTTATCATCCTACTCCTGCATGTTGGCCCGCATGAAGCAGGAGCCTGTGCGGGACCTGTCGGCCGCCGGGACCGGCTCTCTGTTCGGAGAAGAAGCCGCCCCTGAGTCCAGGACCGGCGGAGGCCCAACACTCGGCTTCACCAGCGCCTTTTACGGCAAACCTGTGTCGGACGTGGACGGAGTCAAGGAGGAGGAGAAGTCGGAGGAGAAGCGCAGGAAAGGTGAGCGGCTCTGAGGGAAACTTTAGATTCAAACAAAATACATTCAAATGTGGAGGTGAGGTTGACAAACTGAACCAAACACGGAGAAGAAAATAATTTATAAAACATTCGACAGAATCACAGTGATAAAAAAAATAAAAAATAAACAGGAGCTGATAATCCTGGAAGAACAGGATTTAGAACTGGATTATAAAAAAATGAAGCAGTGACACAGACGGTCGGATATTATAAAGTACAATAAAATAAAAATATATCAATATATCAAAAAATATACACAACACCTACAATTCATTTAAACCTGTCCTCAGAGTAAAAAAACATTATATTATTATTATTATTATTGCTTTACTGTTTTCATATTAAATTAAATTCCATTTTTCAAAGTCGGAATGCATTTAATTTCATATTTACACGAAAAACATTTAATAATTCCCAGCACAAACCGATAATCTCGGCCGTTAATCCCGATGATCTTCGTCCGAATTTTGTAAAATAATAAAAAACCATAAAATGAATAAACGACCAAAATGTGTCTAGATTTTTAAACTTTATAAAAACGTAAATAAACTGATTTTTTATGTGATAATTCTTAGATTTCATTTTAAACAATTATCACAGAAACAGATTTTTTCTTAAAATGTTTTATAGATAAAATTGTTTCCACTTCGAAATTAAAGTGTTAAAAAACACTTCGTTTTGATTTCTGAAATCGACGAAAAATATAACATGAATAGTTTTATTTTTCTTAGTTTAGAATTTTAGACATTTTAACAGGACAGTAAAAAATATTTTACCGTCACATCGTTAACTCAGAGTTAAATAAAGGAAATAAATCACAGTGACATTTCTTTACTGAGTTTTAACAACTTGTTTAATCCTAGAAATATAAATATTAATTTATTAATCAATAATTTCTCTGTCATTCTTTCGGTCCAGTGAAGACATTTGTTCAGAAACCGTTTCCAGTTTGACCAGGTCGTCGTTACAGTTACCGTGGTAACCGTTACATGACGGAAGAAAATAACTTTATTGGTTTGTCCTTCATTTCGACTCTTTTGTTTTCATCCAAAAGAGTTCCGTCCTCCTCTGGATCCCACTGACGACATCAGGCCTCAGGATCCGGATCCAGTCAAACCCCGGCGGCGCAGGAAGCCGCGGGTTCTATTTTCTCAGGCGCAGGTTTACGAGCTGGAGCGGCGCTTCAAGCAGCAGCGGTACCTGTCGGCCCCGGAGCGGGACCACCTGGCCGGGCTGCTCAAACTCACCCCCACCCAGGTGAAGATCTGGTTCCAGAACCGGAGGTACAAGTGTAAGCGGCAGCGGCAGGACCAGAGCCTGGAGATGGTGTCTCTGCCCCCGCCGCCGCCCAGGAGGGTGTCGGTGCCGGTGTTGGTTCGGGACGGAAAGCCGTGCCTGGCCGCGGACCCGGCCTCCTACAACTCCTCCTACATCAACCACTTCAGCTACAACAGCTACCAGCCCTTCAGCGGCCCCGCCTGCAACACGAACTACCCCTGTAACTACCCCGCTGCCCCGGTGCAGGCCATGCAGAGCCCCCCCGGCGGCAGCGGGCCTTACGTGAACTTTGGAGCCGCGGAGCTGAGCAGCGCGCCGGGCTCCTTCTCGTCCAGCGGCGGCCTCCACGGCATCAGGACGTGGTGAACACGACCGAACCTGCATGAGTCTGAAATACTGCAGTATACTGTAGTTCTGTGTACTCTGTTTTCACCCCCCCCCCCCCTCCTCCCCGACATGAAATTCACAGACATCAGACATTAGTTGAGTAACAATAAAATATAGATCTGGTCGAAAATAAAGGAGTTTTTTTTTCAATGTTTTGAGATTAAAACGGTTCTGTTTGAGTTTGTGTCAAATATCTGTAGTACAACGGAGTACTGTCAGGTACACGAGTTTAATGTACATGAACGACGAATTAGTATTAGTTGCTACTACTACTAACAACAATAATAACAATATTAATAATATACAGTTATAATATATAATCTATTATAATGAACAAAGTCATTACAAGAGTCCTTCATATTTACCTCTCATAGTTAAATACTCCTATTAGAGGAATTGAAAATATTTTTTCAAGTATTTTCTGATTTTCGTGTACAGACAGACCATGGATCAGATTATTAACTTAGTAATTCTTCGTGGTTTATTAATCATTAATATTAATTACTGATCTGATGATGTGGATTTAAAAAGAACTTCTTAAATAAAAACATAAATTCTCTGGAGCCAAACTGACAAAACAAACAAACAAACAAATACTGTCATTGGTCTGACTGAAACTGAAGTGACCAATGAAATTCATTCTGACGGTTCCTCTGATCAGTCTGTGGGCCAATCAGAACAACTGACATCAGTCAGTGTCTGTTGGACCAGCTGTCAGGAATCAATGTCACTTTTGAAATGTTTTCACTTTCAACAAGCAGCTGTCAACTCCAGCTACAGAAGGTTGCTGGTTCAACTCCAGCTACAGAGGGTTGCTGGTTCAACTCCACCTACAGAAGGTTGCTGGTTCAACTCCACCTACAGAGGGTTGCTGGTTCAACTCCAGCTACAGAAGGTTGCTGGTTCAACTCCAGCTACTCCTCAGGTCTCAACAGACCAGCGTTAGGACTGAAGCTGTGGTGAGGTCTGAAGAAGGGAGAAGAAAAGATGTTTTATAAAAGATATATGTCCAGCATATACATCTTTACCTCTCCAGCTACAGAGGGTTGCTGGTTCAACTCCAGCTACAGAAGGTTGCTGGTTCAACTCCAGCTACTCCTCAGATCTCAACAGACCAGCGTTATACATCTTTATACATATACATCTTTACTCACTAAACGTGACATTATTGTTTGTTTTGGTTCTGATCATGAAGAACTACTACAACACAGCTGTTGACTTTACTTCACAGAGTACGTGGAGTACTGCAGTCCTGGCTTCCTGTGTTTACACTGCCACTGTGGAGTGGCGTGACCCCCCCCCCCTCCCACT